ATGTCTAAGATTTAACATTGTTAAGAAGTGCATCAGCTAATGCTTTTCTGCCTTCAGATCCAATTTCATTATCATAGAGATATAATGTTGTTAATAAGATGTGTATCAGCTAATGCTTTTTCTTCTTTGGATTCAAGATAATTATTATCAAGATTTAATGTTGTTAAGGAGGAGTTCTTGCAAAGTTCATCAGCTAATGCATTTCCACCTTCTAATCCAAGATCATTATTTCAAAGATCCAAATCTTTTAATATGGTATTTTTGTAGAATGTCTTTATTAGTTTGTTTAAATATTTCAATCCATATTTATTCCAAGATAGATCCCAAGTTGAAATGCTTTTTTGATCTTTAGGCTGTCTCTGAGTATTTTCTCAAAAGTTCTAATGCATTGAGAAATTTGTGTTGGTTGAAACATTCTTGTGCTTCCTTACTCAAGATTTCAAGAATACTATTATCCTGCTCTGAAATATTCGAATTTATCACATCAGGTATATAAAGTGAAGATAAAGTTATAATTTCAAGTGAATTTTTGAATATGTTTATATTGTCTTGGCTGCTTGAGAGAATTTCACTATTCTCAGATAATGTTGATAATGTTTCAATAGAATTATATTGACTCAAAGTTTCAATAGGAATAAGTTGCTTTAAAGTATTAAGAATTAATTTTGTTTCTGGGCAATTGCTAGGATCATTGTTTCAACATTTTTGGTAAAGTTCAATATATTGAAATGATATACAGTACCTTCTATAGGTTTTTCTCTATTTTCTTGAACTATGTGATAGCAAAGTGGCATTATAAATTTGAAGTTTTGGAATAGAGGTTTTCCACTTGAAAACTTCTAATGAATTATATCAAGACTATAGACATCAGATTTCTTATTACATTTGTATTTTGGATCAATAAAACATTTAGGATCGACATATGCTGGCATTCTATGAACAATTGAGTTTAAAGTCTTAAACATTTTATTCAGCTGCTTTGATAGTCCCAAAAATATAATCTATAGTTGTCTTTGATGAATTAAGATGTTTTTCAAATGCTAAATTATTAAAATAAATTTATTAAAGTCTGTATTAGTAAATTAATAATAGATATGATAGCTAATAAATATAAAATCTATTATAGTAATTAAATATAATATAGTACTTACTAGGTCTCTATAAATAATATTGTCAACATGTTAAAATAAAGTCTGAGTACTATTTTCTTAGCAATGTGTAGTTTATCTGCCCAATATAATGTTGAAAAATTTACCATTATGTATTCTTGTAAAGCTACATCATCAGCATATACTAAAATTATATTATAATATCTGTTGCTATTTGTATATTAGATATGATTGCTTGTTAAGCATCTTATTATATGACAACTTCAAAAATTATAAGTTGCTTGTTTGCCTTTCATCACTCCATAGAACAAAATAATGTTTGAATGGCAAAAAACAATTTGTAATAGTTTAAGCTAATTATTAATAAGTTTAGTATTATATATTCAGTAAGATGCTATTAAGTTCTAATATAACAAATAATACTTTATTGATAAAATCTTTAATGGTTCTTTCATCAATGCTTGCATCAACTTTAAGATATTTAAGAGTAACTGTCTCTCCACTCATATTTATGAACCTTTCAAGAACCTCTACTACCGATCAAAATAGGGTTAGTGAATTTATTATGTTCAATATAATTAATATGTTTATCAAAAATAGCTTTTTCAAAAGCCATTTATCTGGTATGTTTGTCATAGTTTTTTGTATGTGCTAATATTTGTCAAAAAACATCATTTTGTGCATATACATACTATTCATCAACGAAATACCTGAAATACAGAAATAATTTTTTTAACATACATACTTCAATTTTTATGTCATTTACTGCATGTGTAAATGCAAACATGCATATATGATGAATTGAATGAATAAAAATAAGTAAAACCTGTTATGTAAAAACCTGATTCCCAAAACATAACACCAACATTATAGATTATTCGACACTGCTACTATAGGAAAGTGTTATTCGGCACCTGTGATCTGCTTTATTATAAGTGTATACTAATGAAAATATGCAACTCTAAACCTAAAATTTAAAATAAAATAAAATGCATAACTATGAAGAGTTTATGATATATTTGGCAAACAGTAAATCATATTCCTAGTAAGGTAATTTATAATGACCCTCTTTTAGAAAGCGATTAAATAATTTATATGCAGGTCGATTTTAAGAATTTCTAAAATATAACCAACGTCATCACCACAGCATTACTGTAATAATAACGTGATCATAAACGTAATTTGAATTGAATATAATAAATAATAAATTATTGAAAAAAAATATCAATAATTTTTTATTTTTGCCAACAAAAATTTAAATATACTAAGAACCAGAAATTATTAGCGCTTTAATTTAGCGCTTAAATAATTATTTTATAAACATCAAATTTTTTGCGTTAAAAACCACAAGTTTGACATGCTCAGAGCTATCTTGATAATCAACGCGCGAGCTCATATTGCGCTGATAAGATAATGATAAGATAATATAAAATTACTTCACGAAAATCCAGTGTAAAAGGAAATTTGGCTGATCACGAGAAAGTTCCCAACCAATAATTAAGATGTCTGACGCCAATCATAAACTTTATTAGAAGTGATCTTCCGCATGCCGATGAACAAAGATAAAGGGGTTAATTCTTATTGAAACTATGTAAAGTACCACTCAATTATAGGAACTCCTTCGGTCATTAGTGCCCGGTATGATACAATTAGAATAATATCTGAGGCTCTATAGTCAGTGGTGTACCAAATGATATATAACAGTTTTTACTTATCAAATTCAATATCGTTAAACCATAAGTCGCTTATATGTTGCATTTAATTTCACCTTATTTGTGTTAGACTGTTACAAAGCAACAAGTTATATCAAATAAATAAAAAAATAGAATCTAGATAACAATTTGAAATTAAAGTCATATTTTATCCAAAATCAGATCTTCTGAAACCCCTAATATTTTATAAAAATGACGGATGAGATAATTCAATTCCTTTCTTAGAATTGTAAGGAAATTTCGCTATAGATCTCCTGCACAAAGATGATACACGATAAAAAAAAATTGATGCAAATCTAGTTTTTAAATCATTACACTGCATAAATGCAAGGAAAACTGGTCAAAGTTATAAATCTCCAAAATTGTTATACATATCTGACTTCATGCGCTATTTTGCGTACGTACGCACTATGTATCTGCTTGTCTGCATGTACGAATCAATGGCTACGTTACCAAATCTGGTGTATCACAACTTGGCTTGGCTATCTTTTTGATTTGTTGACTTTTGTCAACCTGAATTGGATTACAAAGTTTCTTGATGCCATTCTTCGTAACAATGCGTGTTTAAGTGTTGATAATATAAAAAAATATTTGTACAATGTTTGTGACTATGTGTACATATAAGACCCTAGCGTCACCAAACTTAAACAATTTCGTGGTTAAATTTGGGTTAGCTTTACTAAAACTAAAATTTTGCAAGGAAACTTTTTGTTAGTGCAGAAAGGGCAGTTTCATAGGTAAAATGCGATTAAAGGTATCATTATTGCTGTTCTAAGTAAACGCATAGGTCTATTATTATTTGGGCGTAGAGTTGACACTTTACTATGTCTTTATGCCCGGATTTAGTTTATACCCGGATGTATCCGGATATAATTACTATGTTTTACAATAAATTTTTATCAATCCGGATATATTTATATCCGGATTGAAGTACTGACTCTATTTGCGCGTATATACTGTGCAGTTTATATAATTTAACAGCCGAATTTTACGGTGTTGTATTTGCTTGTAGTGTCTCAAGCAATGAGACCTAATAATTGTGCGCATACAATGGAATAATGGAATGAGACCCAATAATTCGTGTGCATACGTTGAAATAGTGGAATGAGACAGACATCCCCTGAATCTTTATGAGGACAGTCATTCTACATTTACGCACGTAACGTATGTTAAATGACAACATAACAGACAATGGATATAGTAAATGTTAGGGTGAGGATCAGGTTTATTATTGTGTTTTTTGTTTGATTATGCAACATACTATTATTATTTAATGTAGGTCATAGCTCGGAACGATGTTCAATGTTCTTAAAAATACTTTAGACCTTTTATATGTTAGTTTACATATTATTTTATTATTAAATTAGCAATGTTTGTTTTTAATAGAGATGAAATATGAAGCGATGCCTCCAGTCTGTGAAATATTTATAAAAGGATTATAATAGTTACATCAGCAAAGTTATTTTTTATAAAATTTACATAGCTCTATCAAGATATAATGCTATATGATTTTTATATAGATTTGCAACCCAATGTAGACTTAAATAGAATTTTTTTATATGAATTAATATAATATTTATATAGATTTTATTTATTAGTTATATGAATACAGTATAAAAAATTATTTATATATATATAAAAATAACTTAATTTACTTTGGTTATTTCTCAAAAATGACTAAAGTAATCAGTGTTCTATATATTCAGCATGCTAGAAAACCTTCCCAAACCCTTAGCTTTAAAATCTAATTCTAGCTTTAATTTTTAAGTTAAAATTATTTATTTATTTTTTTTTTGGTATAATTCTACGAAGAAATATATAAATAGCTATGTAAATTTACGTTGGGTTTATAAGCTACATAAAAATTTTACAAAGCTCTACATAAAATTCTACATAATTTTATAAAAATAATTTTTTTTACGATAATTGAAGGAATGAATCTAGTAAAAAATTTTTAACGATAATTGAAAGAATGAAATTAATTAAAAATAATTTTTTTTACAATAATAGAATGAATGAAATTAATAAAAGAAATTTTTTATGATAATTAAAATAATGTAGTAAAAATTTTTACGATTTTCAAAGAATGAAATTAATAAAAAAAATTTTTTTATACAATAATTAAAAGAATGAAATTAAAAAAATTTTTTTACGATATATGAAATTAATAAAAAAAAAATTATATTCTTTTTAGCATCAATCTAAGCGTTTCATTTTCTTCAGATAAATCAATATCTGAACTATATATTTTTTTAAATTCCTCTGATATTGTTGGTTCACCATCGCTGAGTGTACAGTTTGATATGTCTATTACATTTGTGGTAGAATTAAGTGGGGCATGTATATTATTAGTATTACTTATATTAATTCGATTAGTTTGATTATTTTTAGAACTACCTATCAAGGGATCAGATAAAGTTGACGAATTTAAATAATTAGATGACAAATCTAATGAGGAAGAATCTTTTAAATGAACAGGATCAGGAAAATCTAAATCTTGATCATCATTACGATTATAATGGGCTATATCATGCTTTGAATCATCCTTTCCAAGGTGAGTCGAAGAGGCATCAAGCTTATTTCCAGCAAAAGAATCGGTTTGTGATAAAAGTTTAGGTGAAATTAATTGAAATGAAATTTTTGGTGCCGAGAAAAGTTTAATCAATAGCATATATCTTAACCATTCTAAAAGAGAAGGCTGTAAAACTAAATTATTATTATTACTATCGTTAGTAATAAAATTGCTATTTCTTGTAATGACATTAGCTTTATTGTAATTTAGAGCTTTCAATTCAACAAAATTATTGGATATTTTTGGCATGCTGAATTCATCGGTGATGGCTTTGTTGTGTGATCGATGAGGATAGTGAGACTCATAAGTGTTAACAATGGAGATCCACAATTGTAGTTTAACATCCTGGAAAGCACGAGAGATAGCAATGTCTTGAGAAAATACTAAAGTATTCAGTAATCCTAAGTGCAAAAAAATTAGAAAACCAAAAATTATTCATAACAAAATAAACAAAAGATGATCAATAATAATAATAGTAATAGTAATAGTAATAATATACATACCTTCAAGTGATAAGCCAATATCACAAAGCAATAATAGAAGAAAAGGGACTGCTTTATTAACATAAGCGTAAGTTTCAACGAAAGAATTAAAAAATTGAACAGCTAATGGCACCATAGGATACCACATAACCCTTCTAACAACAGAAGAAAACAAATTCTTATTAATTAAGGTGGGGTAATCAGACAACTGGGAAGAATCAAAATCATCGGTATTTTTTGTTGCATAACTGAGTTTTCTAATAACCATAAAGACAACGATCGCACAATATAAGATGGAAGCATCTACCCAGCCGAAAAGAGTAATCCATTGCCATATTATATTATAATTTTGACCCGAATCACGATACCAACAACTTCTGTAAAAGATATTAATAAACATGAATATATGAAATAAAATATGATATAAATATGATATAAACAAATATATATATAATGGTATATACATACACTTCCGGATTATCATAACCATACATGTTATCAGAAATAGGAAGGAGAGAAATGAAAAGGGCCAAAAAAAATGAAATTATAAAATAATATTTCTCAAAATTATAACGCCTATATTCGTTTACGAAAATTATATGAAGGTTCTAAAAAAAATAAAGACAAATTAAAAAATTGTATATAAAGTATAAAGGACATTTAAAATATACTTTAATCATATTACATACCAAAACTATGCAAACGATAAAGAATAGGGAAGCAAGACCAAAAAATACAGTCGCCCAAATCTTAATAAAAAGATCAAAAGAAATTAAAAAAAAAAAAACAAAGCCAATAGATCTCATATCGGGTAGAAATTTTCTCAACGGGTCCAATCTCTAATCTCAAAAAGCAATTATTTGGGATTGAAAAGGAAAGCTAATAGATATCTTACCGCATATGCACACGAAAAATTGGGAGAATCACCCCAAATCAAATTACATAAAAAATGACTAGAATAACCTATATCACAGAGTAAAGCTGCAAAGGTTAAACGAAATGAAACCCGATCTGCAAGATTAGGATAGTATATTCGTATAAAGCAAAATATCATGCATATGGTAAAGGTAGAAATGAGAGAAATCATAGTCAGAGGAATACATAATTTAGCTATAAAGGTGAGTTGATCCTTTGTTACTGGTTCTATAAAAGCCATTAATCATAATGTCTTGTAGAGTAATAGATTAGAAGAAATTCGACTAACTATATATATATATAATTTTTCAATATACAAATATATACATTCAAAAAGAAAAACGGTGTTGCAGACAATGATACTAACAAATATATTTAACGGATAATTTTCTCATTAAGTATATATATATATATCAGATATATAGATCTTAATGATGTTGTGTTTGTTTTGCTCAGATCTAAACCAATAATCTTGATAAATCTAATAAACAAACAATCCCTTGATCAAATTTATTATACTACTATTTTTGTCGACTTAAATACCTCCATTTTTGTCCATTTTCAATTTTCGGGAGTGTCTAAATCCCATATTAGGATTAAGGTTAGTTTAGTGTTAGGCACGAGCAAGACTTATAAGTAAAAATCGTCCCCCTAAATTCCGTTTTTAGGTGTTCTTGGTTTTTTTGTTTTGTCGGGCTGATCCGGATTAAACAACTTGATTGGTTAATAGTCACATGATTAGACATGACCCCACATTTATACCATAATGGATTATATGTGTCACATTATGATTTAATTTCGCATAGCATGAGGTGTATATATTGGTTATTGTTGGATCTTAACGAATTTTGTTACATTATTTGAATTAATAATTTTTTGAGATTTATAATTTTGATCTATCTATTTTTAGAGATTTATAGAGATTTATAATTTTAACACAACATACATAAGGATATGCAGTGTAATGGTGGTTTACATATGTAAACGGTTTTCTTCAAATTTTTCTGTAGTTTGCTCCGAAATGTCTAGTCAAATTTCCTTAAAATTCCAGGAAAGGAATTTTCATCAGCCTTTTTTATAAAAATATCTGAAAATCTTTTATAGTATTTATGCGTATCGTCTGTTGTCCACCCGCATAAGTTGCATTTTTATTTTTGTTAGCACAAGTCGGTTTATACCATGTTTTCATACTCAAATCAGGTTAGATCATTTTGCTATGTAAGGTAACTAATAACATTGTATATCAATAGCAAGTATAATAAATGTTTATAAATTAATTTAACGTTTAAGCCTTCTAAGTTAAATGACTTAAAAATGAATCAAAATTTTCATTTCTAATGTAAATGACGAATCCTGTACATAATATATACAGGGATACCGAAAAATTAATTGCAATTAGATTTTATTAAACGCACAAATAATTTAAATAAAATTGAATTCAATTAATGACATAATAACTACAAGTTTGTTGGAGATTTTGTCCAGCACAAAATATAAATGAAACCTGTTAATAAGTTTTCTCTTGGTGGTACTCGTGGGTTCAAATAATTGTAATTAATTACCCACATAGTGTTGGCGGTAGAATTACTGAATTACGGCATAGAATCTGACTTCCGAAAATATTATATGCCGTAATGCAATAATGTCGTAATCTCGGATAATGTGTACCAGGTTTGGTGACAACGCGCCTAGTATCGCCACCAATATCAGTTACATAATCGCTTTTTAAATTTCAATCTGCGCACAAGAATAATAGTGTAATCCGGAAAACTCAGACCTCCGGAAATTTTAATTGTAAGCCGGTTAATTACGTATGTGCCGCAGAAGTCTATTTTTAGTTAGCGACGATCTTCGATGTATTTGGGTTAAAGACTTTTAGGAGCGATTTGTCTTAAAAGTCTTAAAGGTCTTAAAGGCGGGGGTATAATAC